CTGCAGCTGAACCCCAGGGGAGGTGCAGGCACAGCACAGGCAGCAGCTTTGCACAGAAATTCCACGTAGCAACACACTGGAGCTATTTCTGCCGTTGCTTGGGCCTTTTCTATTCCAAATGAGATTCCTTTTTTTTTTTTTTTTTTTTTTTTCTGGGAAGGGAGACTGGAAGCGTCTGTCACCAGCTGGGAAGAAGTGAGAGCTGAGCAGGCTCTGCAGCTTCTCATCTTCCAGGTCACATCAGGTGAACACAGAGGGAAGTCCCACCTGGGACAACCCCACCCAGGTGGTGGCAGGAGTGAATTTTGCAGGATAAATCTGCAGGGTGGCACATTTGTCCTGGTGGCAGAGCCCAGCCAAGCCACCACGACCTGGGAATGCAGCTGGGCTGCTGAGGGAACACCTCCCCAGCTGCAAGTGAAAAAAGGGATGACGGGGAGCAATCGCTACAAACTGACGCCTCTCATTGTATAAAACATAATTTAATACTTACACATAATGGCACCTGCATACAATACTGTCTTACAGCCATGTCTGAATAGAAAATATTCATTGTGAGCCGCCTTCAGCATGAAGACTCTGTTAATCACTGTCAGATCACTGCTTTAAATAAAAGTAGAGTGTCAGCCACTGGCCCGTGTCTTAATACTGACACATTTGAAGATTAGGAGGGTAAAGCTGTTGAGAGGTGGAACTTTTTGGCAAAAGTGAGAGGTGATGAGGGAAGTTTGCTGATGCAGAAACTCGAGGGTCAGGCTGGTGCTGTGTCTGTGCCTCGCAGAGCTCACCCCGGGGGATGAGTGATTTTTTTAAGCATCTTCTTAGGAGAAAAGGGAGTAGAATGGCTACTTTGAAGAGCTCATCGGGGTGGTAACACAGGGAAGGCAGCAGGGATGGATCCGTGTTTTGTCAGCAGGAGGCAGCAGTTCCACCTCTCACGCTGCATAACACACCTGAAACCTCTCCAGGTGCGGAACGAGGGTGTTTTTCACCTGTTTATACAGCTCTGCCGCGTCTTTACCCTCCCAATCCCAGCTCCTCGTAGGGATAATCATGTAGATCCTTCAGTTTGCCCCTCCCCACCCCAAAAAAAAAAAAAAAAATAGCCCTTTATTCCCTCCGGGAGCTCGAGGAGCTGCACCCACTGCCATCTGGTCTCCAGCCAAGGCAGCACGCGCGAAGGAAAATAGTCCAGGAACCCTCCCCGTGGCTTTCCCAGCTCCGGTTTCCATGGAGAGCTTGGCAGCAGGGATGCAGAGGCAGCTCCTCGGAGCAGCGTTCCAGCGGAGCCCCCCGGAGGTGGGGATGTGCTCAGGCACAGGAGCGAGGGCAGCGGGACAGCAAAGGGGGCTGCCAGCAATCCCGGGAATGCTGGCAGGGCAGCAGGTCCCCCTGAGGGGACAGAGCCGACCAGAGCCCCAGGAGCTGCTACTGGAAAGGGGGTTGTGTCACCGCCGCCGCCGCCTCGGTGGGTTTGGGGGGCAGGTACTCGGGCCTGCTCATGGCCACAGTCCTGGTGAAGCAGCGCAGGTTGCCCGTCTTGAGGGCGCACTGGACGGGCCAGAGGATGATGCAGAAGAGGATGATGATGAGGGCGGAGAGGAGGAGGATGCGCTTCCAGTCGTCGCACACCTCGCAGCGGGACAGCCTCC